TTGTATGTTTAGATGAGTCATGTCCAATCAATTCATCAAAAATACACAATGGACTTAAGTCATCTTTATCAGTTTCTTTTTCTTGACTAAACTTATTGATTTACTAAACTTATGCAAAGACTTGTTTCGTCCGTTTTCTATAGGTGAAGAACCAGCTTTTAAAAAGTTCGCAGGGTGGATTCCTGGATATAAACCGCCAATAAGAAAAACTGTTAGATTCATTACTTCAGGAATGTTATGTCAAAACTGATTTGATAATAGATAAAATAAAAAGTCCTTTTTTCGACAATTCTGCAAAAAACATTAAAAAAAAGTACCTTATCTTCAGAAAGGCTTTTAAAGTATTAATTACAACATAACAAAGTTCCCAAACGGCCAATCCAAGACGTGGAAACTAGGTAGAACTTCACCTATTACAGGTTAAAAAGAATGACTGAGTTAGAAGAGGCAATCCGTTTCACTTCTTCTTCTTTAAGTTCCATCTTCTATCGAAGGTTGGAAATCATCATGGCTATGCCGACTCTGTTGACTGCCGCTCTAAAAAGGTCTGCACTACTGCATTCAAACCATTCCCTTAAGTTCTTAAGCCAGGATATTCTTCGTCTTCCAACATTTCGCTTTTCTCGGATTTTGCCCTGCATAGTAAGTTGTAATAATGCGTATTTTTGCCCTCTCATCACATGTCCCAAGTACTCAAGTTTTCGTCTTTTAATAGTTAATATTATTTCTGTCTCATTTCCTATCCTTCTAGTTACTTCAATGTTTGACATTTTTTGAATCCATGATATTCGTAGGATTCTTCTATAACACCAAAATTCAAAGGCGGCCAACTTATTCAGATGAACTTGTTTTAGTGTCCAAGCTTTCAGACCATAAAGAAGAGTAGAGAACACGTAACATCGAAGCATTCTCAGGCGTAGTTCTAACCTTATATCCCGACAACAAAGAAACTTTTTAAGTTTAATAAATGATGCTATTTATAGTTATTAACACTCTTAATTGCAGTATCTTCAATAGTCAATTGGATATTTGTGCAGATTTAGTCATGATCATGCATTTAGTTTTCTTTAAATTTATCTTCAGTCCGTACTCATGACAGCGTTAATTAAGGCGTTGCATTAGGTTCTGTAAATCATTGTTGTTATCCGTAATTATTACTGTATCGTCTGCAAAACGTAAGTTATTCAAAACTTCTCCATTGATAGATATACCTTCTATTGAGTCTGAGAGCGCTTCTTAAAATACCGATCACTGTAGACATTGAAAAGTAGTGGAGACAGCACGCAACCCTGGCGGACTCCTCTCTGTATTTTGATATTTTCGGTGTACTGGCGTGTATTTCCGTTCCACATCGGTATTAAATAATACACACTTAGACTTAGACCAAATCTAAATAAAAAACACTGGATTATTTGTTCTCAGCTTTCCCAAATTTTACGGCCGTTTAAAGAAATAACAAGTACAATGAGTGACCAAAAATACTTGAAGGGTAGTTCAGTGATTGTTATGGTACGCGGCCTGCAAGAATCTTGCAAGAAAATTTTAGCAAACGGTAACCTTACATCCATAGTATCCGATGTAGTACAATTACTAATATCGGGTTTAGCAAAAATATTTAAAGGGATAGAACAGAGTGGCATATTGTCATTATGTACATTTATGGATTCACCATTTAAAGTGCAGGGTTTTTCTGATAAAAATGAAGATAAAAAAATAAAAGAAAAAGTTAAGAAGCTGGTTACTTCTATAATTAACGAACAAGAAGATTGTACTATTGAAAATCAACCAGTACAAGAAAAAGAAACCAATAAAGATGACTTAAATCCATGGTGTATTTTTGATCAATTAATTGGAGATGGCTCATCTACACGTACACCTGTATCGAGAGTCCATTACAACGGTGGAAAAACCATCACCATGTATATCCTAACTTAACCCCTATATTCATACAGTATTGTAAATGTGAACACATGTTCAAAATCTGGTTTAATTTGAAATAAAAAAAGAAGACGGTTAATAAGAAGTAGGTATAGTAGAAAAACTTATGTTTTTTAATGTCAATTTAGACTATTCGCGATTTAATAATAACGTGTAATGTAAATGTAAGTACGATTTACTATTTGTATTGTTTAGTTTATTTTTCAAGTTATAATAAATATATCATTAGTTTCTTTCACTTCAATAAATATACACATAAACGATAATAGCCATTATGTTTGTTTATGTAGGTACTCTCTTACTTGAAACTACTTTTAAACAATCATAGTTACTTGTTTACAAAAATTTAAATTTTTAAATTCATTCATTTTTTTTGGAATCCTGAGAAAACTAACAAATATTTTTGAAAAATTTAAATGCAGAATAAAAGATTACATTATTACCGAGGGCCAAAAGTCCCTTAGAATAAACAAAAAGTTTTTTGAATAAGATATTTGAAATTAAAAATCACACTAATTTTTTTTCGCCCTTATAACTTATTAAAATAAACATTATAGAAGTTTTCAGGGACTTTTGGCCCTCGGTAATAATGTATTGGTTCATTCTGCGTTTAAATTTTTCAAGAATATTTATTAGTTTTATCAGGATTCGAAAAAAATGAATGCATTTAAAAAATATTAATCCGAAATTTGCCTACGCTCTTAACGATAAAATTACCACGACCCACCTCTACTACCCGTTACTCGGTGTTCTGACCAGACGGACGACGACGTTGCCAAATAAATTATTGTGTATGAATATTTTTTAATGTGGTGTTATTGTATGCAGTTTATTATTTCATATTGGGAATAAGGCAGAATGTGACTTTAAAATAAGCTTATTTTGATGTTTAGATTTTTAATTCGGAAATCGTACTTAAAATACGAAACATTAATAAATTTTATTTAGGTATATAAAACGATTTCCAAAGTGGAAATCAAAATGTTATATTACACTTATTGTAAAGTAAACTTGTGGCATATTCCCAATAAAAAAAACAGTAAGCTGCCATTTAAATCAATTTCGCCCAAATTGGATTATCTTAGAACATTGTTCAAATGCAAAAAAAAAACAACAGGTCAAATAAATCCAATAAGTTTGGCAACGTTGAACTTCCCCTTTCCAGGCATGCATGTTTGGCGATATAAAGGGCGGACCTAATATAGCTCTCTCTTTCTAAACAGCTGTTTCTCACTCCATCTCACGTAAGGTCCATACCGACCATAAAATTTTTCCTACACTGTATATATACATATATATATATATATATATATATATATATATATATATATATATATATATATATATATATATATATATATATACATACAGTACTCCGTTAACCGAAATAATTGGGGGGGAGGCCGTTTCGGATAATAAGAATTTCGGTTAACAATATCATTGTTTTTTATAGCATACTTGGTCAAAGTATTAGTATTAAAAAATACTGTGAGGTGATTTCGTAATGTTTTCTAATAGTAAATACAGAATAAAATAATAAAATAAAGGAAAAGTTTAACATGCTTTTAAAACGTAAAGCAATCTGAAAATGACAGAACTTTATGAAATGGAAACAAAAATTAAGAACCAATTCGTGTCCCTAACTAATTAGGCCTACTGTATAAAATATCTGTATGGCATAGAAAATCTAGTCGGCGGTCTCGTGCTGCCTGTTGTCTGGCAGTTGGGTCGACATCTTCGTCGTCTGATACGCTCAGGTTGTCTGGATGAAGAACGATATCAATCCTGGTTGATGAATTCAGTTTCTGAGTAATCACTAACTATAATTGCTAACCACTCACGTATCTCTGCTTGGTTAATTTCGTCACATCCGGCAAATGTTTTATTATTAAAGGTTTAATTTCTTCTGTCGTTTCTTTACCATTTTCTTCTTCAGAATCGTCAATCAAAATCACATCGAAAAGTTTGTTCTAGCATTTTTCCCAGTTGAAGATTTGATCTTGGCCCACGACTCAACACACCAATAAACAAAATGTTTCATTGTTAAAGATTTGAGAATTTCGGGAACACTTTTGGATTCATTCGTCTCCTGTAATAACAGATGTCTTAAGAATGTTCCTCTATAATGTCTCTATAAGTCCCTGGTCTAACGGCTGAATTAAGATCGTGACATTCGGTGCCAAAAATCTGACAATTGTCACCATTTTGTAGATTTTGAGGGTAAGTTGGCGCATTGTCAAGGAGCAACAATGCTTTGATGGAAAGGTTTTTTGATTTTAAAAAGAATTTTACACTTGGGACGAATTCATTTTCAACAATTCTGAAAATAAAGTGGCCGATATCCATGAGCTTTTTTGGCTTCTAAAAAAACTGGAAGTACTTTTTCGGAAATATCTTTTAGAGCTCTTGGTTATTTTAATTCCCCAACACACAGATGCATTAACAGGAGAGTGAAATTAATGGAATTGTTTACGTTTTGCGATAAAAATTTAATTTTTACTGACGAAATTATTAAAATTGTCAGCCGTTTCGGTTAAACGATGTTTCGGTTAAAAAGGTTTCGGTTAAAAAGGTTTCGGTTAAAAAGGTTTTGGTTAAGGGAGGTTTTACTATATATATATATATATATATATATATATATATATATAATGAACCAGAAATATTTGCTGACCACGTAAGGAAGTAAACTTTAAATATTGGGTATGCAGCAATAAAAATGAAAGGTGTACTCTTTTAAATTTTTATTCCAAGCTTTCGGACATTGGTTATGTCCTTCATCAGGGAGAAACTTAATGAGGTTGTATCATAACTGATTTTATAAAAATTGTTGATAAAATTTATCACAGTCTGTTGAGCTAAAACCTATTCCTATATTTAAAATTTTAAAAAATTACTTAACATTCACACAAACTTAAAAGTTTCACAGTGTATAAATAATTTGTCTCCTAGGCCATATAGTTGGCCATTTAATATATAAAGCGATAGCGGCTTTCGCTAAAAGATTTAATTCTTTAAAACAATGAGTAGCACACAGTCTAATTATGTATATATTTCAATTTCAGAGACATGAACCAGATGATAATACAAATACAGAACCAATTGTAGGTCCACATTTAGTTTTGCATTATAAGGATCGTACAATACTAGATGATGCAACAAATTTGCTTATTCATCACGTTAAACGACAAACAGGAATTCAAAAAGGAGAAAAAAGGAGAATTAAACGTTTATTAAGTCAGTTTATACCTGATTTATTCTTCCATCCCAGACTTCAACTTAGCGACGACGAAAGAGAAGAAGAAGGTAACTAATAATTTACGGATACCTGCCCAATTTTCTTGAAATGTATTATGTATTACTTGTTATTAATAACGAATAGAAGATAATATATAGTAGCAAAGGTGTGAATATAAATAAAAAACTGCCAAGGCTACTCATCAATAGTCTTTAACCCTTGTATTAACACAGCAGTTATATTAATACGATTAAATTGACATTGCGCAAGAGTTTTTATTATAAATAATGTGTTGAAAGTATTAAACCAGGACATATTGAACATTTTATGAGGAAATTAAACTTGCAAACAAATATTTCTATTTTAATTATTTCAAAATTTAAATAATTCTCAAGTACTTTAATTAACAGTTATGACTAATCAGTCTAATTTGACTTCATGCTTGAACTTAATTAACACGTTCGCTACCGACTATCTTTTCTAAATCAATGCCTCCGTGAGCCAACCATTCCATTTTTTAAGTGCGCCTATGAGCCACCATATAACAAATGTGTTGGTCCCATCGGGGCAACGCGCCCCAGTGAACCGTACTAATTCTTCTGTGCGCCGTTGGTTCATCGCAGTAAACATAACCTTACATAAATAAACGAATGCGCTTTGTGAACTGCTCTTGTTGATTGTTTTTCATTTCAATAAATTGAAAGAATAAATTGTTGTAAGTATTAGTATAGTGTTTAAAATACAATATTTTAACAACATATTCTGTAATTTTAGATGTCTAAATGTTCTAAACCTCCGACAGAGCGTGAATTAAAAAATATTGCAATAAATTTTGGAGAACTTTCCGATGACGATGATGAACCATTCGAAGCTTCTGATAGTGAGTACCTGTGTAGTTCAGAAGAAGAATCAGATTCAGAAGAAACGGTGGAAAATGCACGAAAGTTTTTACAGAGAAATAAAAATAAAATTAGATTCACAACCTACTCGTCATGTTCACGATAATATCAATCCAGGACGGAACTTAAATTCAATACTCGGTTCAGAACCGAACTTAGATCCACAACGTAGTGAAGATTCAGTACCGAATATAAAACCAAATTGGGGTCTAGTATAAGCTAATACCACCTTTTTCTATTCCTTCAGGAGTAAATAATGAAGTAGCTGCAATGTTGGCAAATGGTACGCCTGGAGACTTTTTTGATGCTGTGGTCGATGACACAGTAATTAGTCTGATTTGTAACCAAACAAATATATATGCACATCAGTTTGTACTGGCTTCAGACGCAACACCAAGCTCTCGCTTACATGACTGGATTCCAACGACAAATATTGAAATTAGAAAATTTTTAGGACTGGTTGCCTGGATGGGTTTAGTGAAAATGCCGAAAATCGTAGACCATTGGAGTAAGGATAACCTGTTCCATAATAATTTTGCAAAGAATGTAATGTCTAAAAATCGATTCGAGATGCTGTTAAGGGTGTTTCACTTTAATGATAATTTATTGGCAGATACAAGTGAGAAACTGTATAAGTTAAAGCCACTTGTCGCAAATTCTGACTGCAAATTTTCAGTCTTTATAAATGCCGGAAGAATATGTCTGCATCGATGCAACCCTATTACCCTTAGGGAACGCTTGGGGTTTAAACAGTATATTAAGTCAAAAAGACACAAATATGGTGTAAAATTTTTTAAAGTATTTTCTGGATCTGGATATACTTACAATTTCAAAGTATATGCAGGGAAATATTAATTCTAAATTATTATAAATAGGGATTCTAAGAATCCCTATTATAAATAGGGATTCTAAGAGGTCCGCCCTTGATTTTAAAAACGTTTTAAAATCCTCAAAACTAGGAATTTCATTATTTGTTTTGCTATTCTCCCACGATCGTCGATGTATCGAACTTACAAGAAATAATATGAATAAGGAGTATGTCCCATGAATCAGTAGGTAGCCGTAGCTGCTTTAACGTGTATAAATGCTTCGAAAAAATATCAACTAATTGCCGCAATCTATTAGATGACTCTTTATGTATAGGCTCTATATTAAATAATGCATTAACATGATTGGAAATTAATAATCTCTTATTATCGTACCATTCCCTAATTAATTTCCACGCAATTGCATCGTTTTCGGCGGTAAACTCTAATGTTCGTATTACCTGCGCCGCACCGCCCTGTAATGAACATCGTAAATAATGAAAACGGCTTATATTGTCTAAGTACTCATTTCTGTTAACTAAAGATTCAAAAAGATCTGCAAAATCTAACCAATTATTATAATTACCATCAAATTTTGGTAACTCGATAGGTTTAAGCTCAATACAATGCCCTGTATATGAATTCTTAGAGCGCTCACTTGCTTTATCGTCTTCTATACAAGCTACTTGTTGATTGTCGCGAATGATTTTTCGCGCTACCGCTAATTGTGAATAATATTTCTTGTAAAATTCTTCGCGCTCCGTATATTCATCTTCTAATAATTCAAATTGAACCGTATTTTCTATTTGATCCTGAATCCCATCGAGTTCGCCCTGTAAATGGTCTATATTATTTACCATATCTATAGCTTGTAATACTTCTAAATCTGAAATCGTTTCACCCTTAGTTACTTTATCATTCAATACTAATATATATTTCGAAAATATTATGAGTTTGCATTTAAAAGCGCCCCTTTTTCGCTTTAAATTCTCCATAGTTTTATAATGAATTAAACAGATAAACAAATTATAAATCGCTTGATATTCGACCCTAACGTTCTAAGAATTATCACATAAATAAAGATATAAGAATAAAGATAAAAAAAACTGATAAATAAGGGAATGTGAAATGGGTATGCTCACCAAAATATTTTTATGATTATTCTAACAGCTGGCCCCACTGCGTGGCGCCACAAATCTTCGCATCAACTCGTAGAGTAGTTCTTCACAAGTTTTAAGAACCACAGTTGTCCAATTATGTTACTGTCTTAGGAATAACGTTCGAATGTCTATAACGCGCTTGAGCCACTATGATTCTGTCGAGTTTGTATAGTTCTAATTTATTTGTCTTTATTCTAATTTATTGTCTATAATCTAATTTATTAAAACTCACGATAGCTAATTACTAATTTATTAAATAACTTTACAAATGTATTTATTTCACGTTTCGTTACAGTTAAATACCGCGTTTACCGATCTTCTTATGACTAACCCTCAATGAAAAATCTTCCGGTATTTATATGAAACCAGCTTGTAACAGAATGTTGTAGAAAATACGATGCCGTTCTCGATCTCGACGTAGACACGGCGGCGGCGACGGGTCTTAAAACTGGTATGTTCTTTTTCGACTTCGAGTCGTGGATGACTCACTAAAATTAGGGTCTAGATTATTCTGTAAACAACTGGTATCGAAGCGCAGGTAGATTTTGACCTACAAATTACGAGAATCAATAAAAAAAGGATTAGTCATAAAATATTTACAGTTCTATATGCCATAACATTTAAAATCGTAACAATTCACTGCTGTTAGATCGCCCGCTAATTTGATGACACAAATATGAGTTTCTAACCGGTGAATTTACACTGTTTTAACCATGGACGTATGGTTTTAACACAAGAATTTGATGATTCGGCATCGATGGACCAATAGATTAACTTGATATGCACTTCGCGTGTGCCGCTGGTAAATAATCAACTCCGTGTGAAACAACTGACTTTATTGAATTAACAATACATAAATATAACGCTAATAAGTATTGCTTCGCTCGCTGGTGTCCACCGGCCTCGACTTCTCGTATTTGAGTGCTGCCGTCCTTGGAGTGCTTTAGGGGGCTCGCCTTATCTTCCTACGCTACTATGTTGCCGGATTGTAAAATGCATAAAATAAACTTGAATTAGATAGAGGCGTGAACAGTCCTATTGGACGAACGTGGCCTATTGAAGCAACATCAGCGATGGTTCCATCGGACCAACATGGCAGAGAACGTGTTAATATTGAATTACATGTGTGAAATGGAATTCAATAACAAACTTCCGTGAAAGTATATTTTGAGAATTGTAATGTAGTATATTTTACTATCAAACATCTCCTTGAAATATATCACTACATATTCACTATCACTAGTAAAAAATAGAAACAATGAAGTCAAAAGCAGCAATGGTCTGCATACACAATGACATACCAAAAGCTTGGAAATAGTCTAAGCTGGCTCTGTTCAATCTGACCTTTGAATATGTCATACATATAGCGGAATATTAGAACAGCGAATCTCGTAACAACCAACTCGATACAACACTAAGTACTACAATAACAAAAAGGTTGTTTTTATTATTATTATGTTTCTCAAGAAGTCTCAAAAACTATATCTGATTCAGGCAAAACACACTACGTGACCTAATGTATTTCACTTGACTACGAATGAACCTACCTAGTTACAGGCAGAGCGACTTGTCCAATCTCGTAAAAAATTAATTATTTTTTTGAGTATATTGCCTAGGTTTTTCAGTGTTTTGCGTAATAAGTTCGTTAACGGTTTTGAATTTTGTGTGTATTTATTAATTGTTCCTGTAAGAAAAATTAGACTTGCTGATAAAATACTGAATGCTAAAAGAGGGTAAGTAATATACAAACAGTATTATGTTTAAAATGTTTTTTGAATTACCTATCATTTATCAAGATCTAATTCTTTTGTTATCGTTTTGTTAAAATCAAATATTTAACATTTCCATTGCAAAATTGGGTTAGTCATTTACAATTTTTAAAATAAAACGCATGCTGTAACTTAGCCGAAAATTTATAATTTTATTTGGTATTAATTATATCAACAAATTATAAGAAAATCTATTTCAGAAAATGTGACAGATACTGAGTGACACGACCAGTGCGAAATTCAGATCATCTTTTATAGAGGTTGTAATTGGATAAGGTTAGAATTTAGACTTACTTATTACTTTATTGATCATATAAAAGTCAAAAGTTTTTTTTTAATAAATAATAGTACATGTAACTTATAGATCATGGCATGACATAGATCCATTTTATCAAGAACAAACAGTAAAACCTATGTTTCTATTTTAGAAAACA